AACAACAATTACAACAATTATAGTAGTTCCCTAGAAGTAGACGGCTGGCATTAACATACTTTTAAATCAATTTAGTTTTCGAAAGAATAAAACTGCACACTGAATATCCGAAAGCAGCACTTATAAGTCAGGTGTGAGGGGAGGCAAACTGTACCCTCCATAAGTAAGTTAGCGCGCTTAGTTCGTTTTATGTCAAAGTGTTCGACCACTGTACTTCCAGTCAATGCCCTCATTCCATCTACTAGACTCCACAACAAAGTTTCACCAAAAGCATGTGGGAAGTAATTTATCGGAAGCATCTAATTGACCACATCTGTACCTGCGTGAAAATTATTGCAACATAGATATCTCAATTTTACCGGTAGGCATGTGTACTTGGTAACTTAAATTAGAGGTAGGCTTTCTATGCGAAGGTAGGCAACAACACTAAAAGCAGCTGGTGACTTTAAAAAGCAAGCAAGGCTCGATAGAAATGGTAGTATGAACATTGTGTAGGATGCTAAATGCAGATTTTTGAATTAAATGCGCAGGTGTACCTAATTTGCCCATCCCAACATGTGATCTAAATATTTTGGCTATAAAATTGCTATTCTTTGCCAATTAAAACCACAACTTTGAGTTTGTTTTAGGGAATATTATTTGAAATAAATTTCGTCCATCACGTGTTCCTGGAAGGCAGGCTTTAATTCGCACCTCAAATCTATACCCATTATCTACATTTGAAGTTTGTGTTGGTAATCCTGGTATTCTGAGGGAGTTTCCTGATCTTATGGTGATAAAGTATTAGTGTTAGCGGTTGAGTGGATGGTTTGAAGGTCGAAGATCAATTGGCAGAGATGTAGGCGGCTGATGCAAAGATCGTTCGCTAAGAGATTCATTTTACTTTGCACAATGATAGAAACTTCTAGTCTTTACAAGGCTTTAGTAGTAGTGGGGTATGCTCTTTCATCGATTGGGATTATGTTCGTAAACAAGATAATTCTAACAGCCAATAAGCAAGTGCAGTCATTCATTATGCTTATTCATGCTTGAAGGTTCCCATCGTCCATATTTCTAGCCGCATCTCAAATGTGTATTACGTTCGTTGTACTACTGTCATTTTCATTGTGTGGATTTGTAAAAGTTCCAAAACCTTCTCAAACCCTTATTTTGAGGGTACTTGTCGATTATGAGCTCGGTCTTCATTACTTCTGTTAGATAATTCCATTTTCTTGCATTTATGCGGTCGACGTAACGATGGGTTTAGCTGGAACCGGTGCAATCAGGTAATGTTATTTTTTTTGCATCATTTCTAGCTTGCCGCTGTTTTCTGCATTGCGACGTATATCGAATTTTTTCATATTATTTGGCGAACGATATTTCTTTGGGTGAGCCATTTTACCGTCCGTTAATATTCTGTTTTTCAGAAAACGCCATAGTGTTTTAACACATGTAGCGCTAGTAACTATGATTACTGGTGCTTTTGTTGCTGCTAGGTAGGTTTTCCCTGTCTTCTAATACCTTTAGTGGTGACATCAATTTCGATCCCATAGGCTATAGCTTCATTTTCATTAACAACCTATCGACAGCAGCTAAGGGGCTGCTGACGAAGTCGCGACTTTCCAAGCATAATTTCTCGAGCACAACTCTCCTCTTTTACAATTCGATCTTCATGTTTCCGTTCATGACTTTCCTCGCTGTATATACCGGTGCGATTCAACCCGTAAGTCCTCCTATTTTAATTTAGTTATTAGATATACATTAATGGCAAATTATGAAGAATTTGTTACGTTTTCAGTCTTCTGCTTTCTGCAAAGTTTTATGGCTTGATTTATAAGTACTGAAAACGGGACCTAATTCGTTATGATTTTTTCCTTCCTCCAACCAGGTCGTTGAATTTTCACTATGGACAAATGGCTTTTTCGTGGCTGGATTCATCTTTTCGTGTCTAGCAGCGGTGACTTTGCAATTCCTTACCTTTGAATGTACGCGTCTAACTTCGGCTCTCACAACAAGCGTCGTCGGGGTTATGAAGGTACCTTGGAAAAACTTTCGTTTGCTTTCCCGGATAATACCAGGCTCTTGACCTCCAATATTTTCCTATTTATTGTTCTCTCATGTCTTGAATTTACAACAATGCGTCTTGGCTGTTTTAGAATACAATTGTCTCCTATGGGGGGATGTTCGTGGGCGGTGATTACGTCTTTACGGTCGTCAACTTCTGTGGAGTGACTATTGGGTGGGTCTCTTTTTTCGTATCACGTCCACCGTCATTAACGCTGGAGTTTGTTAATATTTGATGCTACTAATTTTCCTCTTTTAAATTCTCTCTGCGGTTAATCTGATTTGAAAAGCCTTATACCCTTTTCTGAGCACCTGATCTCGGTAATCAGCCTGTGGATTCCCTCAAAATACTTAACAATCAATCTAGAGCAGCTCTAGCATTTTGCGATTGTAGTGAACTATGTCATTATTTCCAAACGTCTTTCTTGCTCCTCGAGATGCGTAGTTGGGCCACATTATTAAATATTTTGGAGTAAGAGAGGCCTACCCTCTAATTCTCCGTTATTACTTAGTAACAATTTGTTTATGCCAATCTCCACCAGTGCTATTGCTGTTTTTATCATTCCCCTTACTTAATGGACTTGAGGCGGTTTATTGAATTGAATTTCATTTTTCATGTTCGAGAAAATGGTCTTCTCGAAGTTCCTTCCAGGAAAAGAGGAATTATTTCTACCGGCATGCTTTTCCTCTCAGTGTAATATAGGACACTTTGTACATTAAAGTAGTCGCATATTTTGGCAGTTTTTAAAAAGCTGAATCGATCTGCGGGTTCCAGTCGAATACTATGGCGAATGAGATGACTTTCAGATCTGATTTTGTAATATTTTTCATAACTGTATCCACCCTTATTGGTCTTTTCGTTTTTTTCAAATTCAGCTCTACAAATCTTAGCTTTCACGGGATCTCGCACCGTATTTTCCTTCTATTGGACGCAAGATGGTAGTGCATTACTGTGATGCGAGGCTTGCTTAACTGTTTACTACGTAACCTGAAATTTGTGTCGAGATGAAACGACAAAAATGATGAAGCATTTACTCATTTGCGACCCCACAATGCGGTCCATTCTAATCGCAGCCTTAGTGTGCCTAACAGAGGTAAAGCCTAAACTTTACCAATCAAATGTGTTTGTGTAGGTTTTTATGATTCCCGACTAAAGCGAACACCATTACCATGGTGCAACTCTATTCATTGTCACCCGTCAGGTTTTTGTTCGTTTACTCAGCGACTTAATAAACACGAGCTCTGTTCTCCAATTCAATTGATCCACAAAAATAGCCTCATTTCTTCATAAAGCGTTCTTTTTATCAACGATGGTCTCTCACTTTTGGTCATTTGGTAGGCGCTTTTAACGTTTAAATTGGTGCCTCATCTTAAGGGCAATTTCGAGTTCTTAATTTCTTACGATTGTCCTATAACTTAGCGTGTGTGAATGTGCATTTTTTCCAGGACTAAACTTACCTCCTTAATCTACAATGGAGGGAAAGCAATTCAGATTCACGGATGTTGATAAAGAGACATCAAAATAACAACTGCCTAGTTAAATAGCAACAAGAAAGCGGAGGGCATTTGAAGGCACCGTGGAGGACACGTAGTTTGTTTTCCCAATGCACATCACGTTCTAACATCCATAAGTAGAGTTGTAGCAACTTTTCATGCTCTTTTAGTACTTGTATCATCAAGCCAACTTCGAACAATGTCAGGAAGTTATAATCGACATTTCAAAAGATGGTGAAACGCCTTCCGAGATAACTTGACAACCTACTGTCTCTGCATTTATTGAGAGAGAGATTTGGAGCCTTTGTAAGTGTTTGTCCAAGTCAGAATCAGAAATGCCCTCGTTTTTCTCCTTCCGGGTTAAACGGCTTTAAGGATGTGTTGAGCCTCATCGGCATTAATTCGATAACTTGTGAGACGATGGATGACCACTGTAGAGACACCTCCTGAGTCAGTATCCCCTTTTGATTTCAGCACGATCGGAGCGATAACCTACGGTGTCTCAATGTATTTGAGCAAACAGGTGAAGCTTGGGATTCTGACTTCGACAAAAGCATAGAATTTTCCCCTCGGCCCAACTTATACCTCATTGTATCCCTTTTTATACCTATGTATACATGCATATATGTACATAATTTGTGGATTTGAACAGATTACCGAACCACCAAGTACCTCTACTCACTTTCAAATAAACAGTCATGTGAAGATTTGGAATTGGAAGGCTCAGTTGTGAAGCGGGCTTCTACTTCATTCCAATGTGAGTAGCCTTGATTAATTTGCGCTTTTGGCGTGTTCAACCATCCACTGGCACAATAGCCAAGTGAAAGAGACCCTTCTTGGTCCCCGAAGACGTCATCGACGTTCAAGCTAATATTCCTGTAGGCACTTATTCATTGTTTTAATTATGTGTGAAGTTGCCCGGCCGCGAGTGGATCTTCAGCCTGGATTTGCTCTCGTCACCTGCACTACCAGTCTCTCTCAACTCTTCTGCAAGCCAATAATGCAATCGCCTCCAGACTCGTGCATTGTGCAACAGCTGCAGTGAGTGTGCGTCACTAATGTCGCCATTCGAACATGCCAACAAACTCCATTGACCATACTGCTTAATTCCACTGACTCAAAATGAAGATGGATGGTATTGAATGAAAAGCGACTGAGATAGACTAGTGATGAAATTGACTGTCAAAAGTCGTGACAAACGTCCAATTTTGTGACATTCTGAAGAAATAAACGTGCAGCTACGTATTCACAATAAACTCATTTCTACCATCTACTTACTTGTTTTTGAGCTACCCTACACTTGCAATCCGTTAGAGCGCCCCTTGGCAGACCACTTCATGGCTGCTTCGCTTCTTGGGGGAGGAGCACTCAAGTTAAATGGAGACTTGATTGTACGGGTTGCTACTTTGGCATTGCAAAATAAAGTAGTAATTGCGGGGTATGCCCTCTTTCGAGTCTTAATAATTGAGGCACACGCCACGCACTGGCAATCAAATCGGCAAGTAGATATGGTGGTGGTGAGTCCGTTCCCGCATGCAACATAGCGTCCTGTCAACGAAGGTGCGAAATCCGGTCGGCGGACTTGAAGAAGGTGAAGGATGTCCGGACGCCGCGTGTCTGTCAGTCCAGACCCTGGCGGTGGTGGTTCTGGGTTCACAACACGTCCGTTGTGCCTTGCGAACGAACTGGCACAAGTGACAGATCTGTTCGTTTGTGAACGGTGAATGCAACAAAGTCATTCCCAAAAATGTGCACATTTGGAACCGAAGTACCTTTCCGCTTTTGATCGGTACCAAAGTGAAGCTGAATGGTTTGGGCTTGTTAAATCCTGGCGGCAGATTTATTTGTGCTGACTCTTCCTAGATATTCGTTCTTTCCTTTCGTAAATATAGAATTTCCGGTTTAAATTAAATTATTCTCTTGCCAAGGTGAACTTCATTGCCATAATTACCGGCGTTCAGTTCATAATGGGTGGGTGAAGGAAATCGACCGAATCAGGAGGTATTACACTGCCATAGCGTCTCCGGGTAAGGACATGGTACACCTAAGATTATAAACAAAGTCGTAAGCTTGTCACTCCACCCATCATGCGCAAGGGAGGAATTAATGTCTTTCATAAACAAATGTTTCCTTTAAAGGACTGTAAGTGACGATTTCATTACTTAAGATCTCCTGCCAGAAAAATTCAGCAACCTTTTTATTGTAAATCTAATTAAAAAAGGAGTTGCAAAGGAAGAATTCACTAAGCCGTCAAGCTGGAAACAAGGAAACGGATCTAGAACTAGCTAATCAAAAGTCAGGTATTGAGTGTTGACGCAGACGTGTGATGGCAGCGAGTGGAACTTAAGGTGCCAAATCTCTTGCCTGAAAAGCAAAAAAAGTTTTAATAAGCTTGAAAAGAAATCAAGACAA